TCAAAATTTAAAACGTTCTCTGTTTCAGATGAGGACGCTTGAAATAGTAAAGGTGCCCAAAGAACAAGACGACTGATGGAACACAGAACAGAGAAAATACGAAAGGGTAGGCAAAGAGCCAGTGTAAAGATGACATCTCAGACGTCAAGAGTGGTCGAAAGGGGATGACACCGTGCTTGGAAAAAAAACTCAAATAGGCCCACTCTAGCTGTTAGTTGTTAATCATTTTTCAGCTAATGCGTGCTTTGCCCTCTCCTGAAAAAAAAACCCTAGCTACGCCCATTAATACCCTCACACCTAAGAACAGTACGAGAATGACCTAGTATACTGCAAGGAAAATATTGGTAAGAAATAAATATGATTAGCACATCCTTATTTATTCTAATTTTGTATTCGGGAGCTGAGTGACAACAGTAAACGGTTTTCCCGTGGAGTGCAGACTGACGAGTGATTTGTACACCGTCGAAAGTCTTCCTCCATAATACGCCATCTGCAAGATGTCTGGAACTCATCAGACTTTCTCCGTGGGAGATTGTTGTGGCGTTTTCCCTCCCAGTTTTACGGGTGGGACGCAGGCCCAATCTGCCGATATGCCTTCAATATTTTCCCGGAGAGTGGTGTTGAATCTGAAAAATGATGGGAATTTTCACCCCGTCGTGCTTTTTTAATTACGCGTTGCCCTATTATGGCAACCCGAGCTGTAGACAATACTGTGAAGTATAGTAATCTGGATAAGCGCCGCGTGTGCTAGATCTTATTTTTATGTTCCCTAGAGCCTATTTCACAAAACACGGTTAACTGATGAGCCTACATGAGGCAATATCAGGGCTTTATAGCCTTCAAGACTTCACAATATTTGACAGATTATTATTGAGTAAGCCCCGTGGCCCAGTTAGGAAAGCAAAGCTTTGATGTATTGATACCGAGTCCGATAGAAGGTTGAAAATACTTTTAGTCCTAATTTAAGGGCACTTGACCATAATGTATTACGAACGATTTCATAGGAACTGCAATATCGATACGATACTACCAAATTGTGTAAATCTGGGGGTCCAACATATTGTTTTTCACAAGATGTGAATGATATGCAGAGGGAAATTCCAAAAGGATTTCACTGGAGGATTTCCTAGAGGCACAATAGTTATTGGGGCGTAAGTGATGCTTGCCTGTGCACGTAGTAAACACCCTCCGCATCGGGGAAAAGAACAGCGCATCTTGGGGTGACTTGAAAGTAGGACTGTAGTGCGATGCTTAAAAAGCACACCCCCCCATCCCTTCGTGATAATTTATTTAAGTTATTTGCGCCTGAGTTTCTACACAAATCTTCATTATACGACAGTATTGGTTAGGTGTAACACGGGCTTCATTTCACTAATTATTCTCCACTCTCTTAATCCCCCCTACCAGCACATTAACTCTCCTTTTAAGGCATGAATAAAAATCGGAAGAGATTTCTGCCTTCCTTGGAGAAGGCGACTGGTATGTGAGATGACACATCGGGAAAAGAACCACTGATGTGGTTTTTATTTTCCTCCCTCCATCACCAACCGCAGGAATGATAAAAGCTCCTCTACTCTTGACAAGATAAGCAGCTGTGATCGCAAATAACACTTGATAGGGGTTGAAAGATAGCTTCCAACGGACAATAGCAATTTTCCTTTTTTGGACCAGGCTATAGCTAGAGAGGTCAGGGTATGGGGATCACGGTGCGAGCGTGCTAAATTCTTGTCAGTTTTTCCCAGAATCCGCCCACTTACTCTGCCCAAATGTTCACCGAGGGGTTATCATTAATATTATTTTTCGCATAGCGGGCAAAACCATCATCTACATCAATGATTGGCAGTTGTTGACGATCTCCTATTTCCGGTTGTTCAACCTTTTATAGAAGCTCTCAGGAAACTGACCGGCTGCACTTTCAGTATATGTCATGTTGAGAAATGGTATTAACCGTAATATACCAGTTACTTTTAGAATCCCGTTGTTGGTAAGATAGTAACGACTTACATACATCCAGAAATAATTGTGTCTTTCGGATATTTCAGACTCATGAACAAATCGCCCACATCTTCCATCTTAGGTAAACAAGCAACATGAACAACATCACGGTGATTTAGCATTGAAAAACCCTCACAGAGCACACCTGCATGGAACATACACTGACGATACAATGAGCCAAGTGTATTTTTACAACCTTTTTTTGCACAATCACTGCCTGAGTACATTACTCTTCCTTTTGAAGCGGCCTTCGAGAGTTCCCCGAGTTGTAATTCAGTGACTCGACCCGAGTCACTAATTTTTAGCGTCTAAATTCTATTCTAGTAGGGTAAATGACTCGATTTGACTCGAGTAGCAAGAATAAGTGACTCTCTACAACTCTGGACAGTTTCATGCTGCTAGCGAGTAAACCCCATAAGAAAGACAAACAGGGAAAAAAAATTGCGCTAACAAATGTCCTCCACACGATAACAATGAGCCGGCCTCCTTAACAGCGTCCACGAATCCCTTCACGTATAACACCATCGCGCACACCTCACTCTCGAGTCTGCACTCTGGATAATTTTAATAATGCTCGTGAAATTTTCTCGATACTTCAGACGTGTGGCAAGAACATGACGCATGGAGACAACTCCTCAATTAAACTGAATTTTGCATCCAATGATAACTCACTCCGAATAAGAAATTCCTGCGGTAAGTTTAGACCGAATCAAAGGAAAGTTAGAGTCACCAACCTTGAAATTACCATAACCCTTTCCATTGAAAACAGAGTGCAATGAAGAGAATGCAATCCGGCGACAAAATCCGAAAACAATGGTTATTTCATGAATACGACCGACATACCCACATTAAAGCTTATACTACCTAATAAATGCGTACCGTAAAAGGAAATAAAAACACAAGCAACAAATATCAGAAAAACAAAATTCCCACGGGAACATCAGCGACAGCAACAACAGCAGCAAAAACAAGCAGTTGAAAATAAGGGCCAAACAATTATTAAGATTGGGTCATGTATAACTGCTCCACGTCCGCAATTTCCTTAATCTAATTCAATTAGGATAGCATAAAAGGCACAATTCCCCGAATTCCCTGGCCCTGTGCGCATGCGTGATTCCAAAGACCTCTAGAGCTCATGGGAAAAATAGAACTACGATTTTGTTGGCCTTTGTTAGAACTCTGGGAACGAAGTCACATCCCATGTAAAATTTCTATTACCCTAGTGTAAATTTTAACGAGGTTTAAACAGCGACGACAGACAACAAACGACACCGAAAGAGGAAAAAAGGGACAATCCTGTCGCACGCCAAACCATACCAGCCAAATACCCGTGGTATAGACACCACAGTACAGGCGACATCGTGCAATGGGGATTTGCCTGTTGAATATTATGGCACAGGAATGCCTATCTCTTATACAGATCAAATCTGGCAAGATTAGAGCTTGCGAGTTAGACGAAGCATGCACGAACGGCGTCCATTTTGGGTTCGTCGAGGTGATGGAGAGGCACAAAATGCCCAGCCAAGCGCAAAAGGGACGGGTCGCTGTCACTCGTAGGTAACCACGTCTGATGTTTCCATATGGTTAATTTATTCAAAGGGAGGGGTGAACTGTCCCAAGCGAAATCTTCATGGTTAATGAATACACTATTTTTGCTACGTATAAAAATCTCATTCAAAGTTAACATTCCAGTTCTATTTCATCTGGAATGAGGACAGAATAACTTCCTACATTCAAGTTAGTGATTATCAATTATCTCCACAAGATGCAATACTTGAATAATTTTCAATATGATCCTGTCGATGGAATATTTAGGCTGTTTCAAAAGGCCATGTTATTTTTTGACAAATGGCCGTCTTTCTCACAAAACACACACTAGGCCTACCATTGTACGTTCTGCGAAAATAGCGTTATAGGTTGAGGGAGCTGATATTGGTGAGGAATGGTAGGAAATTCTCCACTTGAAAGACAAAATGTGTCATAGAAATGTGATTTTGTTGGATCCTTAATTTCCCCCTGATGCCATTTACTGAAAAACACGGCAGCCGTTATTCAAGTTTTATGAGCACCTCTGCGTCAAATGACACCCTGCATGTGCTAATGTTGTGAGAGGGCGCTATCGCTATAGCCGAGCTCTCATCAATTCGGCTGGACAGGTCCCCGGCTCTATTAGACAGGGACTGGTAGCTAGCTGCAATTTAACGTATGCGATTAGCCCTCTCAATTCGGATGCTGAATATTTTAATATTTGTCAGGCCAATAGCAATGCTTCTAACATGAATTACGTACCAGCAATGATGCGAATAATACACAAGTACCCTCCTTGTTCATCTCTATTGATAATCACAGTGGTAATTTATTTTTCAAAGAATAATATCGATAAATTATTTTGCGGCAGTTTATTTTAAATCAGTGGTTATTTGTTATATTTTTAGATAAATAGGCAATTTATGTTGAATTTATTTTCGGTAGCGAAGCCTGAGAGAAAAGGCGAAATGTTCTGTCAGCTTCTGCTTGATTTGTACATGGACCGGGCTTCGTTTCCTCATTTACATAACACCGGCAGGATGCTGCTGGTGTCATTACCCGCCACCGGTCCCTACGTTCGGTGGACGTCTGTAAGACGTCTAGAGACTACTTGCGGAACGGGAACCAGTCTACAATACGTCCCACTGCATACAGCTACCTCAAAGATGATCATCATGATGATACAAATGCACGATTTCCTGCGCATGATTCTTCTGGATCTTCATTTTATTTTGATTCTACCCTAAGAAACAAGGACTAAAGTCAAACACAGCAAATGGCAAAGACTCATTGCTCTAGGACACCAACAAAAACGAGCTGGTGATAATTGAAACCCAGAACGTCACTGCTGACCCATTAGTCCCCTTCCCTGTTAAACCAGAACACACTTCCTCCTCCTACTAATGGCCTGAAGTGGGCACTACGTACCAATGCTCCATGTTGTCAGTTTGTTGCTACATTTTTATGCATTCACTGACCTCTGGTAAACAATCAAACGATTTGCTGTCCCTGGCACTACGCTCGACGAACCGACTCCAATTTCCATTTGGACAGGAATACCATGGTCCTACATGTTGCCTGCGTCTTAATGATTTCTTGTTGATCTCACTTGAAGAGAGTAATGTAACGGAGACAACCCCAAGGGGACAATCTTGAAAACTGGACGTCTGTAGGGAAACAGATATTTCACATTAAGACACCCTTTCACTTATATCAGCAACGTCAAACATTGCATCATGCCAAAGAAGGGGTGAATACGTTCAATACATTTTTTTTCTCAGATTTAACAATCTGAACAGCGGTGTTACTTTTGGTTGTAAACCTTCAAAGTTGAAGAAACGATGTTCCGCTTAACGGTCATCGTAGAGGTAAGTGTTTATATGGGAACGAGCTCAGAAGAAGAATTTTATAATTCTATGTGACACAAAACTGAAATAAAACCCTTTATAATTTTAGCTGCTGTACATAAAGGGTCTCTGTGCCCAACGCAGTCGAACGTTACACTGCCCAGCAGAGGAGGTTGTTCAGTGAGGATTAGGCGATCATATAAAATGAATCTTGAATGAATAATTCCCAGCAGATATTTCCAATCCCCACTTTTATCAGATTAGAAGTTTAATGACCTCGTCCTTTCCCCCTGGGTAGGCCATTTATTTATTCTGTCTATTATTACTTCCCCTTGTCTTACACCGAGCGAGCCCCCCACGAGTACTTAACGAATTCAAATTGCCCGACCCACTGGCAGCCACGTACACTTTTTCTCCCCCAAAGAAATTTTAGCACCAATTGGTTTGAAGACCCGTGAACGTCACGTATTCAACAGCAAAAGAAGTCAGCTCTGGATCATACCGTTGGCCGGCAGAAGCCTTGCGAATATCTACAGTACTTCAGCGGAATGTTAATGCGATTACTACTTCATATTTGAGGCTACTACAACGACGGGCCGAGTCGCGTCTAGGCACCAACATGGCGCCAAAGTCACCATGCATCAGCGGTGCATTAAGTTTCCGTGTCTTTGTCATTTTTTTCATTTAGGTAACACTGATTTCGTCCACATAGTTCAAGCGTCAGTGTCAACCTTCCAAAACGAATGTTTCATGACAATTGAAGACTGACTGCTGTGGAAATGAAACTGGATACCTCCAGTAATTATTGAACATTCACACGGAACGCATTTCAGAAACACGTATCAGATAATGCACGTTGGACGTTGCAAACATTTCATTAAAATATTTGTTGGGGGAATGTTACGTACACATTCTTTCTCAATAAAAATTATTCTTCGGAGGGTAGTTTCACTGATGCTGCGGTGAGATTGCAGAAAATGCTTAAAATTGGCCTAAACTTCCGTAACTGTAAAGTCAGCAAAGTGAGTAAAAAGATAGGGGCCTTTGCTTTGCACGATGGCCGATGCATCGATCGCCAGTCCAGGGTCTTACGTTAATGACAAATCTTGACGACGAACAGAATTAAATATCGGGCACTGGTGATTGTCTGGAGACATAGCAAGAAGAACTAGTCGGCGCTAAGCACGGAGTCACCGACATAAAGGTTTAAAAATTCATCGAAATCTAACGCAGTTCATAAATCAGACTAGGCCTAATTCCGCAGTGCATACATTATGTGGCCGGAAAAACTACCTACAGTGGCTTTTGCGACCATGTATGCGTCATATCACCTGGGCAAAGTGTTATTTATTCATAATTCAGTGACCGCAGAGGCATCCGTGGAGTGAAGCAAATGAGGAATCAGATTGTTAATATTCCGTCTGAGGAAGGGAGAAATAGAGTCATCATAATTCCTTTTGACGTATACGTGCTTGGCAGTGCTCGGCAAGTCGTGTGAGGAATTCCAATATGGCTCGGACGCGGGAATCACTTCCTGCAATTTTGATACACCTGTTTCTGACACAATACGAAGGCCTCATAGTGCCATAAAGTTCTCATTTTCAAAAGTATATCTTTTCGTTCTTTTTTTTTATACATATATATTAGAATATTGCTTCTATTTTGGGGGCCAGACGTTTACAAGATATGTATTTTTCACGGTTCGTTTTCATGAGATGTAAAAACGAACTCGAACTTTTCTGTCTAGCAAAAACGAACCCTCCTTTGTTATTTTTGAAGAAAAAAAAACGCTTTAACAGGGTGTACTTTTTCACGTTCGTTTTAAGAAATTTTTATATGTGCTGTTCTTGACAAATGCATGAGTTGGCAGTATCAGGATTTTAATTCCTGAAGAGAATGAAGTACTGAACTGTGTAGTTGTCTAACCTTTCAGAAAAAACGAAATGCAAATTATTATGAAGAATATTAGGAAATTGACCATCCACCGTGTAACACGTATGTTTACTCCCACTCGACGTGAGGAAACCTACGACTTCGACCTTGGGCGGAGGTTACTTGACCAGACCCTCGTAAACTATACGGAATTGTCCTCAACAACTTGCCAATCATCTGTTGAGCCTTCTCGTTTTGAAGACTACGTGTGCACAAAATTAAGAAACGATTACACTGAAACAGAATCGAGAAAAGAAATTCAACATAAATATGAAATTTAGCCTCAAAGAGGTTGGTACGATGATAAATTGTTTCCATTTTTAATCGACCATCTTTTCCTTTTTTTCCACCAAATTTATCAATTTTAGAAGAGTCCTCAGAGCAGTGAGACACTACATACGACAGGCCAGAATCTCTACTACACATTACTATCAGTTTAATCTAGCTAGATTTTTTGCTCGACTTTCATGAGTTATTTTAGACACTTCTGTGTAGCACGATGAACGTGTTTTACATGAACAAAATCGATATAGCCACGTACCGTGCAAGGTGTACACTGCAACCTACTTGCGTTCTGGCGTACACGAAAATTATGCGTCGGAGCTGGTTTCATGTGGTTTATGCATGTATGTGCTGTGTATTTCAACATTTTCTAGCAATGTTATGATGACAGATAGACCTCTATTTCAATAATAAGCTGTATGTCATCTCACTGTACTTAAGTGTTCGTCTTTCGTTCCCTAGTCACAGAAATCTTAAAAAGCTCGCAAGGACGTAAATTTTACGGGATAAACGGAATCGGTGCTAAGTTAGGTCAATATACAAGCGCATACGGTTGGAAAGAGAAAAAACTCTAGCGGAAAATGTTAGCAAATCTAAAACCTTCACACCTCTCTCTACCACAGCCCACTTTTGAAAACCTAAGGAAAACTTCGAATTCTTTGTTTTGAGCTTTAAAAAATCGCATCAACACGTAAACAAATTACCGTTTACGAAAAGAACTTTCCACCAAAATCACTAGTTCGACCGCTCTGGTACTGTTTCCTAATTTTACTTTCACAAAACACGTCAGGAAAAGTCCTTATCTTACCATCAAAATATTTGGGGGAAGGAAATTTTTGTTTCCAAAAAGAGAAAATAATACGTGAATTTCATGAAATGAAGCAGCTGCTTGCCTGGCACGAATTCTCATGGCCCTCATTACGTATGCAAATAACCCTAAAAATGAGACATGCGCAGTTAATATTTTCCCTTTGAAACATACGTGGCCATCCAATCAACACGCGTTTAGCTCATGATTCAAGAGAATAAACCTATCAACAGTCGTAGTCTGGCTATGGGCTGGCAAAGGGGATGGCACACGATTTGCGTCGAGCATTCGTTCGCCGTAGGCTTTCAAGTCTAGCTGCTCTGCATCAAGGGAATTCAAGAATGATGAATTGGTGTTGCCCCTTCAAGGTGTCCGCTTGCTTTACAGTGGATGCAGTTTAGGACTTCCTCTTTTCTGGTCTTAACTTTCAAACATTCACAAAAGATCTTGGAAATCAGACACGAGCCCTAAAAATGATCACAGTGTGGGCTCCATGTAATGCAAAACCGTAGGATAACGAAAGCTGTCCTCTCATTCTGGCAAACATGGAAGCTTTTCCTTTTAAAATCACAACGGTTGAAAAGGAAGAGGAGTTGAGTGTCCTGAGTGAGACTGAGTAAAATAAAATAGGCCAACAAAGAGAGGCTAAACCCGAATGTAGAAGATGAGATTAAATAAATTTATAAAAGTGGGGTCAAATTGGGTCAGTGATTGCTGTTAGCGGTTACAGTCGTTTCTTTTACCGCCAGCTCAGTGAGTGATCGTCATCAGAACATGCTGGGCAAGTGGAAACGAGCTACGGTTGTGAACGGGCAAATGTATAGTGAGATATCCTCTTTTTGTCTTTCTAAACTCGTGGCAGCTGTTGTCTCTGTTAACTTTTAAAGTGTATGAAAAATTCCGACTGCCGAGTGAAAAATATTACTTCATAATTCTAGGCGCTATTTATCCAACCACTCCCAGTCCATCACAGAATAGTCCGCGGAGGTAGCGCAAAAACAAAATTGGTGGATGCATTGCCCAAACAGAAAAAGCCTTGAGGCCTTCATTTTGTTCATACTCAACAGAGATCACATTTACCAAAGGTGTTTCTCCAACGCAGACAACAGTATGCGAAATTCACTGAAACACCGACCCCTCAGGCAACCGTGCAAAACGTGCAAAGCCCTGAACAAACGCAACGGCCCTTGCCACACAGGATTGCAACAAACAGAGGGGCTGTCCTGAGATTAATATACACTTGAAACAAGTTGTTTCAACAATATTGTGGCAATGCAGCTCAATATAAAAGCACGGCGCTGTAACATTTATTACATACAGAAAATACATAAACATATATAAGAAACACAGTTTTGTATACATTTAAGCCGTTATTCTCATTTCCAGGTAGTTATTGGGATGATGGATTTTTGTACACGGCAGGGAGGTTTAGGGCGTATCCATGCAAAGTTAGACTTTGCTTGCTGTCAACACAATGTTGGATAAAGCCTTTTGTTTTAATTGCGGTCCGAGACTCGGCATACGGCCCGCGAATGCGAGTTTTCGCGGGGCAGGTTTTATAAATAAATGGATGTTTCAAACCACCATGCCTTCCAGAATATGTCATTTCGCGAGATGAGAAAGAAATCGTGTGTAAGGCATTAGCAGAAACGGGTCACTTCATTTGGTACATATTGTGAAGTTGTGTGATAGGTTAGATTCCGCCTTGGGCTCTCAAAGGTTTAGTTTAAGAATATTTAAGGATAACAATCCCAGTTCATAATCTTGTTTTCATTACAAATTTTTATAAGGTTTATACAAAGCAAAAATTCATTTCGTGATTGCCTGTGTGCGAATCAAAACCATTGCCAGCTCTTTTTGTAAACCTATTACAATCGCACATCGCCAAAAAGATGTCATGTATCTTTTTTCATTACTGAGGCTCACATAAACCCCTTCCGAGGGACGTAATTGTGCCCATAACTACTCCCATATGACCGAAAACCCTCGCCACTCCAGCGAGCAGAAGTACGTCCTCGAACCGAACGGCGAGTGGTTTGGCCGGGATGTGTTTGCTGTCGCGATGACGCCACCGTTATTAGCCGGTCGAAAAGATCAACTGTTGCGCCTTCGATGAGCTATTCACATTTCCTGCTTATTGGTACTCGTGGTTGGGATTCGCACGACTTCGACCAGAAAAAAAGCACGTCTGGTGATATAATTCCAACGCCAGACAGCCTAGCAAACTAATCAATCACACTGCCAGAATTTGCGTTATCTATAACCTTTTGATACAGTGTATTGCTCTTCTCTTTCTGGTATAGCTCTTTTTATGCTGAGGAGTTAGTGATTGACATAGGCTTGTGCAATCCTGCAAATGTCATATAACGACTTTTCCTGAGTCTAAGAAATCACCTACATGTTCCCAAGGAACTGTCTCTTTGCTGGTAGCAATGAGCAATTGCAACTTAGAATCTTACTTATGGACACAACACCATGCTCTGAGTAAAGAGAATTTTAGGTTTTGCTTAGTGAGTGTTAAATGACCACAGGGGTAGACTTTCTGGCATTACTTAATTACTCAGAGAAATGAACAAAATACGTGGTGGAAGAAATTCACATATACATGTTTATGATGGAGTGTTACTGTGAATGGAAAAGTCTATGTCGAGAGGAGACAGTCCATTGCAGTCTACGAGGTGATCACAGGGCTGCAGGCAAACCAATAACTAGAATGAAAAATCGAGGAAAGTCACCAACCAAACCACAACAAAATCGCCGATACGAAGACCCCCTTGTCTCTATATTCTATAATATCGGTCTGGCAAGTTGACCATGGGAGCTGCCCAGCATGGAACTGACAAGATAAAAAGGGTGCAGCACCACAAGCAACGAGCTTTACTACAGCCCTCTTGTAGTAAAAGGGATTGAATTCCAGTTACCCTTGCTGAATATAAACAGGTTTTTAAGTCCAGTATTGCACTTCCATGAATCCTTGAATGCCGAGCTTGTTATCTCGGGATGAGATGCTTACTTTTAAAAGCGGTCCTGGTCGCAGTATGGTGAAATATTTACCTATCGTGTCTCGAGGCGTGATCCGGAACAGTTCTACTCGGTTTCAATTTACAGTTTAATTTCGACACCGACGCGACGGGATTATTCCGTAAAAGAATACTCTTTTCCTGTACATTGGCTGTGTCTATACCCCGATCAAAGTTATTTTTTCCTTGATTGGGGTATATCGATGCAGGCTGGCCAATCTTGCCCAAACCAGTGTATGGAAGTAGTCAAAAGCATGATTTTTTTATTCACATCCTAATTTGTTTTTAAAAAGAAGAAGGCATGCAGGCATGCGTCATAATTAATTCGATCTAAACTTCGACTTAATCTTCTGCTGCTAAGTACGTTTACCAGCCAGCATACAATGCCACACATTTCTTGTATTTCAATTATGTTGATCAAAATTCGTCTTACTCCAAATTGCATCATTATAGATGACCAGGACTGTATTTTAAGGACAACGACGTACCTGTCATGCACTTTTTACCAAAATTCAGCCTACACAACTTGGAGCGGAAGTTCAGTTAATCGCAAGGTGCTGTTACTTTTGTCACCACTGCTCCAAAATCATTGTTTTTGGTTATTTTAAATTAAAAGACGACATTGAAACTCTCAGTTGATTTTGCATGAATGCACAAAATGTGACCAAGGTAATAAATAAGATTGTCTTACTTAAATGTAAACGATATCCGGACGCGTCGGAATGCATCTTTTGAGGCAAACTCTCTGAAGCTGGTTTCAACTCAACAAAATAACGCACAGAAATAACTTGCCAGACAAGGTCAAAACTAAATATCCACATAAGCTGCCATTTGGGTTTCTCTTATCACTAATTTCAACACATAAGCATTTTTTTAGGAATATGTAATTCAAGATTACATAATTTCATAAAATAAGCGTTAACTCTTTATACCTCGATGATTCAGTGTGTTTTGAGATGTCGAATGCATATCTGTTTATTAATTAATGTGTTTTCTTTTTTCTGTTTTAAACTGTGTTTATAACCGTTCTGGTATAGTTTGCTAGGTATACGGATACCTAATAGAGACGGGATTTTAACATTTGAACATAACGAGCAAGTCCAAAAATGTAATAAAAGAAATAACGAGGACGTCCGGTGATGAATGTGTAATTCTGCTGCGGAAAACATACGGCTCCGCGGAAATCATGTCTGCTAAGCAGTTATTCTTACCAGAGATGAATTCTGGAATTGCACACACCTTGGCACACATGTATCATTTTTGTTCTAAGCAGTACACACTAGCTTACTTTCAACAGACAGATTAAGGTAACATTTCTGTAAGAACCCCAGGTGAAACAAATGAATCAAGTTCATTTCATACTGTTCAGCCTTGCTGGGGTTTTTTAACTGCCGACATTGAATAAGAATTGTAGCAAATTACTGTTCACGTTTTAAAGTTCCGATTATATAAAAGAAAACTTATTTAAGTCAATTTATCATCATATACGCAAAACTCGACGTCAACAACGTAGAAAAGCTTTCGGTCATCAATTATCGTCCAGGTAGAAAAGGTAAACTGTTACCTGTGAGACCGAGAGCTGAGGATAGCAGACTCAAGATCAGCACCCTGCCACGATTCACTTCATGCTGAACAGGACCCAGGGGATTATTTGCCCGGTAGTCCAGACAGACTCACCCCAATGATGTTATAGTCTTATATGCCTCAATCGTAACTGGAACGGTACGGTTCGTCTCCCTTGTAGTTCCTCACATACTGAACTACAATCAACTTAATATTTCCAGTACAGGATGTCAATGCGGTCTCTCCTCAGGTTGACATCTGCAAGTAATTTCAGCTCGGGTAGTCCCTGCTTCCCATCACGGACGACAGCGCAGAAAGTCCATTGCAAGTGCCGGCTCTATCTTCGTTCTGGTGATGTTTCTTGGCTGTTCGACGACATAATACAGGTGTGCCAGCACGGGGGCTGATTATGGGAAGTGAGCGTTCATATCGCCCGTGGGAGAGGGAAGAGCTTGACGTCTGTGGGTAGCCGTGCGATATAATCCGAGGGGCAAAGGAGGGGGAGACGGGTTGACGAACAAACTATCACGGAAATGAGCGCAGCGGACCGTGTATCCGGGGCCCGTGCGCAAACGCAAACAAGGAGTCAGCACCAGTTGATGTCTTCCCCGCCGATTCTGTTACAGCCTAAGATCAGAGACAAACGTGCTCTTCGGTGCAAAACCCCTCAGTCTTTAGTCTGATTGTGAGAATGCGCGTAAACAGGAACCGGCGCACAAACTCGCGATATCACCCATGCGATAAACAGAACGCCTACTTCATAATGCTTGATCGACGCGAGTTTCGGACCGTTCCATAATCCTACTTGTGGACAGGTTTAGAGTCACCCTCGAGCGTTCTACAACCTATCACCGTTTACAAACTGCCAGTGGAAAAGCAGATAGAAGCCCGACAGAGAAAAAATCCTCCGGAAAAAGGCCCCGAAAGAAACCCCTGTGGAAAAAAAGGGTGTGTTTTAAAGGTGTTACCCAAAACAACGGAAATTTTAAACACAAGAAACTCTCTTTAAAGGGCTACCCACCGACACTAATCTTTTCTTCTCATCACGACCCCACATGTCCTCTCTACGACACTCACGGAGACATCAGCAAGCCAATCAGACAATTCCTTCAACTAGTCCCTTGGGCTGAAAGACAAGTCGATCAGCACAGCTCATTGTGAACCTCATCAGAGAAGGTGCTCGTCGGGTTCCCTCTCTCAGCAAATAGCCAGCATGCGCGCGAATTGACGGCACTGACCAACAATTAGACTAACTGATGATGTCCCATGCGCTGGATCGTCTGATATATGCGTATCCGTTGGGTGATAACATCAAATGAAAAAAATGGTGGAATTGCGTTATTGTGGTGCAAGGCGCCTTTTCGTCACTCTTCACGTTTCCAAATGGAGACTTTACCGACAGTAATACTCGCTTAAGATAAGTTCATCATCATCAAACAAAATACATTTGTTCAATGACTGTGTTTAAACTTAACAGAAAGGGGACAGAAATATGTCCTTGAAAGACGGCAAATAGTAGATATGGAAGAAATTTTAATACTTACCTATGAGCAATTTATTTTGAGTGATTTTCCAGCAAAGTCAGAAGTCACTTGGACCACGTACTTTCCTTATGAGAGTTACAACATGCATGTACATGTGCACGTACCGGCCTGAGCTGTCTACGCAATGTGAATGGGCTGAATCCCGCAGCAATCAAACGTTCCTGGAAATACATAATGCAGGACATGTTTGCAGTGACTGCAGGAAACATTCATTTTGCATGTGCATTATCCTTGCACCAAACTGTCTGGCAATCTTAAACATTTTCAGAGAGTCACTTGACAACGACGTAAATTTTGTATTTGAATGTACAATATTTAACAGAAACTAGCAAAATTAGAAAGGGTATTAGACAATGAATGATTATCAGAATGATGAAAACACTGGTCGAATAAATGATGCGGCTGCCTCAGATATCGCAATAACTTCCGCTAAGAAAAACAAAATCTATTTTCAATGTAGCCCCACGGCATAGTTTACGGTGTGTGTTCATTGGGATTCAAACAACGCAAAGAATTGGTATTCAGTGGGAGCTCTCCGACATGACTTCTCCAACAGCACGAATCCTCCATTGAAAGCGGACAGACTCCCTTGACCATGCCTAACGGCGGAAGCTCTCCATCCCGGGGGCCACATTCATTTAATTTACCCCGGACGCAGTGATGACTTTTGAGGGGATTGCGGAGGCCTTGGAGACAACTGACAGCGGACAATTCAATCTTGTCGACTTTTTCCTCTGGATATCCTCTGCTGCTCACGGAGTATGCGTGAACTGTGACAGAAACACAAGGCTTCAACACTCCGTCTCTAATATTCATTGTTTTAATGTAATGTGGTATATTTGACGGGACTTAGGCGACGCATCCTTCATTTTCTGCCCCCTACCACAGTACTTGATCACCAGGGAGCAGTACATGGACCTGTGAGTCTTTGGAAACTCTCAACTTGTATGGGAGAAACGATGTAGAAATTATGAGGACATCTCGTTCCGGACAATTATAGTGGCTTGCGTGGAAGCCATCTTACAGACCAGTTTTTGTTTTCCATAGGGAAACCTCCTTTGTACATACCGTGTAGAACCAGAACATTGGTCTTGCAAGATGACAGCCATGCAAATCCTCTACAGAGAAAAATAAAGTTACAAATAGGCCTAAGTTATTTTGGACAGCTTGTTTTTTTTTATACAAGTACACAAATCGGCGCATTACTACACATTGAATTTAGAGGCACTGTCAAACAATTATGGCAACCAACATGAACACATTGTTCACATTGGAACAAAAACCCGACGAATGGAAAACATAACAATCGTCACGACGCATGCTCCGTTAACATTCCCGTTCATCAACATGCAGCGTGGAACATGACCAATGGTCGTGACGTCAAGCAGCAGCAGTTCATGTGCACACCGTTAGTGACGGACCCCGCGCGAGGAGGTGCAGAATTGGCAGCCATCAAGACTATGGTGTCTGATTGCACCGTGTTGTAACCCTGGCACGTTAGGTAGACTCCCTAGGGTACATGCACACCCCATTAGCACTCAATGTGGACGATCTGAAAATGTCAGGTGCATTTTTCCAATAAGTCTTAAGGCGTCCAAGTGAAGTATTTGAAATAGTTGCACCTGAAGTTGTAAAATCGTGACTTTCTGTGGGTCGCCCACTGAGCACACCAAACTGTTAAATTATTAAATAACTACAAGAGAAAAGACCTATATGGCTCAAAACTATGCTCGAATCAAATAATCTCTTTGTTCTTGTGCGTTGGGGCGACGCAACTTTTCTCTTTGCCCAGTCGGGATAACTTATATCTGTGCTCGGGCGAGTGTAAACGCTAGAAAAAATAGACATCTCATTAAGTTCATTCGGAGGCTGTTAAATTCACCAAAACAAGAGTTAAAAGATCAGATGACAGTCTTCTAATGAGGAAGCCAACGTTTTATCAAAGTACACAACTGAAGTATCCCACAAGTTTGAAGAGGAGAAAAGGGAAGAAGAGAGGTATCCAGTTAGTAGACGGGACCAAAAAGTCAGCAATGAAAATACCAAATATCCGAGTGTTTTTTAATTCAATAGTACCCTCGAAAAGAAAACATGGAAGTCAACATTTCAAACTTTTTCCTCAAACCAGCAAGTTAACGCCAAGGCGAGTGACTGATAACTCTTTCTCATAGGTACCAAACCTGTAGTCGAAGTAAGGAATTTGGTTCCCTTTGAAGAGATAATTCAAAGATATGCCTTTAATTGATTGACCAGGGCATCCTCACCAAACATAACGCAATTTGGTATTAATATATACAAGGCCCTGGGTAGTATAAATATTCAATTGCCCGTTTCTTTGGTAGGGAAACTGGCTACGGGCCCGATTGTACACAAGTTGGAGAGTCATTCAAGTGAAACATATAAGTCTGCGTCTTTATGAAATGAGTAGAAATAAGAGAACCAGGAAAAAACTAATTATTCAAGGCCCAGGAAACTCGATCATCTGATCAAAGAATGGTGATAAAGTCCTGAAACAGCACATAATTTTCCTGATGCAGACAATCAATCTTGCCGGCAAGATTTGATAAGTGGAGTCTCAGTGAAATGTTAGCCAAAGTGCCACCCAGAATGGCAGTATTTTATCACCCACAACGCTTTGGCCGATTCGGGGCGGTCCCTCGGCCGGACGTCACGATAGCAGACGAGACCGATGCCCACTCGATAGTTCCCGCGTAATTATGAAATATGGCGTCGAGTGTCGGCGGGAAATGAAGACATGCAAAGTCCACACCCGCTGCAATTACCGGTTGTTAGACATTTAAAGGGGCAGAGCAGTATGGTAATTACCGGCGGGAAAATCCAGTGTCCTTTTGTTTTAAGCCTAAGCATACCTTTTTAGACATGCTGTCAGGGGATGGGCGAATTTGGGTGCGTTCACCCCCCCATCTGTTCGAAACCTGAGCTGTGTATCTCTAATGACGTCAAGCGAATCAGTGACGTAGATGAATCGCATGTTATTTCTCCGAGAGAATGTGTAGAAATTGAAGCCAATCATAATTTGGGGGGGGGACGCAATTGCGGAAATTTACGACTGCGGCAAGTGTACTTTAGATTTGCCTTGACATTTCGGTGGAAGAAAACAGTTGAACAGCGAAAGCTTGATTTGTTTGTGTTGGTTTGTGACGTTGGGTCATTCTGTAAGGTGTTTATTTACCGTAGGCCTGGAAGCTAACAAAAAATGGCTTTTCCGCCAGAGGTTTTTTCTCTCAAATTAAATAAAATCTAGTTTGCCAGATTTGCCAATTTTTTTAAAGTTAGTTAGAAAGGCTTGAAAAGGCAGCACGGTAATTAGTTGACTTGACGTCATCCCTATCACAACAAACCTCAGCTGAAAAATACAGTTTACACATTTCCCAGCTCTATAATGCTTTGAATCTACGCACAAAATCTCGTTTTCAATAGGCCTACATACTAATGACATCAATCTTTGTTTACATGTGCATTTTACTATGGAGCCATTGGGGCCCATGGTTCACTGAACACCATGGGAACGTATACACGTAAAAAAGGTGTGACGGCATCTGTACAGAGGTCTATTGGAAATGAAATAGTTCTCACTTCTCAGACACACTCTCCAACCCTAAGCCTAACTTTGTACAACATTTTACTACCAATAAAAGAAACCTGCTATTAACATGGACTTATTGTAACAGCTTGTATCAATTCATCATTTCAACCGTATTTTGTTTTCTTTTTTAAGGGATGTGTCTTTTTCCATCCTCCATACAGGAAGAGGTTGGGGCTTCCTATGTTGATTTTCTTTATCTGATTTTGTGAATATTCAGTGCAGTGTGAATTCAAGAAGCAGAGTGCACTGGCATGCAGTGGGCATTCTTTAGTTGGGTGTGGTTCTTATGTGTTTGAGTTTGTTTCTGCATTCAATTGGGGACCCTGAACAATAGCGGACAATAAGGTCCCCGATTGACAAC